ACAGTAGATTCACTTCCAATTACACATGTATCTCTTCCAATAAACCTCTCTGGTGAACATTTTGCAGAAACTTCTGTACATACTGAGTACAAAACTTTCAGCTTACTAAGAAAGAAGAGAAACTTAGCCCAGGAAATAAAAAAATGGAGCTCTGGGAAGAAAAGATCAGAAAACAGGTTCAGGGTAACATGAATAGTTAATGGCAAGAGTAAATAAGGTTTTTTCTTGGCTTCCAATAGAAAAAATAAAAAAGCACTGAAGACTGGAAAGTTAGCTTGCTTGCTATTAAGTAAATTTGATTTATTAAGATAATGAGGAAGATGATTCAGTCTCTGTGGTCTTGCTGATCAACAAAGTAATACTTGTGGCACACAGTGTGACTCTTCATTTTAATGACTGGGGCTTTCTTCTGAAACCAGACTCTTGTAGTAATATGGATGAACTCTGGTATCCTCATTATTCTGAAGTTCTAGTGATGGACACTTGGCATGTAACCTTCATTCACATGCTGAATTTGCTCTGTGTATGCATTGTACCTTCATATTTCAGTCTTTGAAGATTTAATAATTTTTATCATTTTTCTAAGTTAATTTTCAGCCTCAGAGTATAATGGAAGGATGAATGAAAATGTGACATAAGATAGCATAGTGTAGTTTGAGTAAAAAAATTATTTACAGTATATAATTTATTATTTTTTAAAATTTATTTCTTATTAATTAAATAATCGGTTGCATTCTGTCTAACATTTAACCTTCAAGGGAGCCATTCTTGGTGCAACATAGGCAAAATTCTAGCAATTCAGGCCAACTTAGTCTTCAAAAGTAAAAAAAAAAAAAAAAAAATTGCTGTAGTTTAATTTTGTTCATTAAAATCCACAGTGGTTATTACATGGGAAATCATTATTTTTCTAAACAGTGTCCTACTTTCAAACTAGAAACTTAGGCTAATAGAAGTCCTATGGGTCACAGCCAGCAGTCATCTTGGTTTCATGAGAAGCACTGCTACACTATTTCAATTATTCCAGATTTGTTGCCTAAAGGTGCACATTTTGCTCCCTTTATAGAAAACTGATCGTGGTCTACTTTGCCTCGAGATCATTTTCAATACTTCAGTGAACTGATGGTTGATCATTCAGTTCAAAGTTAGTTTGCCTTCCTGGGAATATTATTTAAGTCATTAAAAGGTAGAATTCCTCTCTGGGTTTAAAAATGAAGTTCCTTGGTATTATCTATTCCAGTGGTCCTTTGCTAGGCAACCACTGTGTGATTACTTTTAAACCAAGTGCACAGGTTTAATGACATGCAGTTTGGAAGGAGATTTTTCCCATCTGCCTGCACTGCAGAACTTAGTCATACAATGAGCCCCAGCTTCCCTTCCATCAGTGGCAGTAGAAGCAGGTGGAGCTCTGAAGGCTCCCAAAGGTGCAAGGAGACACTGAGCAGAGCTCTTGAAAGTTTTTCCCTTCTCTGGATTGTGCATGACTGCAGGATGGACAGAATGAATTGTATCCCAGAAGAGAGAGGAGTCTTTCAGAAGAGAGGAGAGTTTCTTTGCACAGATTATTTTGTGCATAAAGAGAAAGAAATATATGCACCATGGCTACTTTTCTTCCATGTGCACGCAATGCTTTCAGATACATACAGAATATTTACTTCTGGAAGGAATATTGTGAAGAATAATATAATCATCATCATCATTGTCAGTAGCAGCACGCAGTTTGGAGTAGTGCAATAAGAAAAGTAGCCACAGCACGTACTCTTGCATGTAATGTGGCTCTTGAATGTAATGAGAGAACCCAGTATTCTCAATAGAAGTTGACTTGGGTGAGGATAGAACTGAAGTGGTAATTTAGCTGAACATTTTAATTTACCATATCTATTAAAAAAGGGAGG